TTTAAATTGTCCCAATGTAATGATAGATCAGAAACTCTGGCAGTCTTACTGCCTGATCTGTAACTCTTGTCTGTTGAACCCACAGGGATTCCCTCCCCCAAGAGATCGCCAGCCGAAGCAAATGTAACTGAACGTGACTACTTCTGTCTCAACCAGTTAAACCAGGTGTGAAAAGGCAACATATTCACAACATGAGTAGTAGTAGTAACATCAGCAAGTCTGTAGTTTAGCTCTGACAGCTGCTGAGTAACACGATATGGACCAGCCTAGAATTGGTGTCAACTTTGCAGTGAAGTTTGGCAGAGCTTTTGACCTCAGATGAGTCTTCACTCTGATCAGGTCATCCACAGAGTAAGAGACAGTCCAACGTTTTTTTTTAATCATAATATTTCTTTCTTTTGGAATGACTGGTTTCCACAATGGACATAGCATGATCATGAGCCTCATGAATTGAGGACTCTAAGCTCTTAGGATACAGAACACATGGCTCCTCCATTCCGCCAAAGTTAGGCTGGGTAATAATATCGAGAGGAGTATTTAGTTCTTAACCATACCATAGCATGGACGGACTGAGTCCAGTGCTTTTGTGTCCTTGCTGTGGTAAAAAGTCCACAAAGTCCACCCCATGTGTACTCCCAGTTTTTTTTTTTTTTTTGGGTGTATGGGAATCATAAATCCCACAGGCTGACTTTGGGTTGTTTAGAGAATTGGCAGACTGTACAGTAGGCGACATACTGTTTGGTATCAGACACCAGCATTTTTGTCATGTCCAAATGTCCAGCCATTAGATGGTCATGATAGTATTCTAACAGACTCCTCCTCATAGCTGTAGGTTGTCATAGCCCTTCCTTGTATGTCCTTTCTGTGGTGTCATCTTTCTATGTATCAATGTTTTTGTTGTGTCTGAAGACATGGCTCAGCCTGTGTTTGTGTTCACCATGTGCTCTGTTCCTACTGCCACGGGCCCTTGTTTAGCCCTCGTTAGTCTCAGTGTTTACACCTGGTCCTCATGTTCTTTCCTCCCTTTATAATGTGCTCTCTTCCCTCATGTCTTCGTTGGTTCATTGTTGTTTGTTGCTTCTTGCTACCTGTTACATGTTTTTGCCTGACCGTGCTTGTTTATCTGTGCTGTTCAGTATACCTTCAGTATGATCCCCATCTGGTTAATCCTTTTCAAGTTTGTTTAAGTTATTCTATTTACCTTATTTTGTATCTTTAAGTGTTTAGTTCATTTTTATTGGTTTTGTTTCTTCAAGTTTATTTTTAATCAGTAAGTTAAAACAAATTTTATTTATCTTTGATTTTTAATTTGTCAATAGTTTCTGTATTTTGTTTTTGGTTGTGTGTGTGTGTGTGTGTGTGTGTGTGAGTGTGTGTTCATCTAGCCCTGTCTGCTGAGAGTCCATGGTTGCTGGTATCCTATCAGGCTGCTGTTGCTGAGATCTACTCAGGATCGCTGGTCAGCAGCGCCTTCAAGACCTTTACCACTTGTCTGGCTTGAGCATCCTTGCTCTGTCTCCTGTTCCGTGGCTGTTTATTACTTCACCCAGGACTCTCAAGCACTGTCTTCCTTCGTCTACCTGCTCCACCCAAGACTACCCTGCTCTACCACATTCTTCACCGTTGGACTGTTTCACCTTACCCCTACTACATATCACCTTATTGTTTATAAACACTCCCTGATCTCATATTGCATTTGGATTCCTCTAACCCTGACATAGGTGCATACAATTGAAGTTTTTCCATGGGTTGAAGATTGCAGGACACTTTTTTTATCCACAAAGTACAGGAGTCCATCCTGAACTACAAACTGGTGACAATTCCCCAACACCTTTGTCATTAACCAACATCTGCATTAGTTTGCATGTGACTGGATCATTTAACTGCAGATAGAAGGCCCTTCCTATCTGCAAAAATTACAAGGGGGGAAAGTGTGCAGGTCAAGGCTGCCAATAATTGCATAGTGTGGGAGAAGTTCCCACAAGCATCGGGCACTTTGTTATCACTCTCGGGTTTATGAACAACCTCAAAGTCCTGTAATCTCAGAGACCACAAAGCCAGCCTGCCAGAGGAAGACATTAGCCATCTCAAATTACTTTGGTCAGATAACACTGTGACATGTAGACCCTTTATGTATGGCCGAAAATGTGCAAGGGCCCATATTACGCCCAAAGACTTGAAAATGTAAAATGTTTTCTCTCAGACTTGTGAAGTGCTCGACTTACATAGGCCACCACCACATCTTGACCCTTACTATCTCTCTGCGTAAGAGCTGCACTAAGCCCTACATCATATGCATTTGTGTGGATAAATAATGGAAGAGAAAAGTCAATAGCAATACTGGAAAAAAGAAAAAAAGTTGAACTCGTGACTTTCTCTGTCCAGTACTATACAGACAATGTTCACAAAAAATGTCTGTATGACTTAAAAAAAAAAAAAAAACACAATCAGTGATAACACAGTGTAATTTAGCTCACAAGCTGCAGTTCTTAGATCCCAAACAAAAAAAAATCCAAAAGAAACTTTCAAAAATTAGAAAATGCTCCCATAACAGAGAACACCCTGGTGACAACCAAGAAAAATAGGACATCTGTCAAAAAACATATTACATTACCTGTGTTTATCACACATTGACCACATACTCTCCACTTTCCAAGTGACATAGTCTGGCAGCTGCAGCTCATGGGCAAGGGATACAAACTCTCTGCGAAATCAGTGATCCTCAATGCCAGAGAAGACAGAAGATAGCCTAGTTGAATTCAGCGGTTCAGGTGCCAATTTGTACTGGGTGCCAGGTGTCTCAGTGTTTAGCCGGAGACTTTGAGGAAGGGGCAAAAAGAGACAGAAACTATTTTGCTATTCTTTTTGGCCTTTATGCATTTCTCCCAAGTACTGTTTACTACACACATGCCAGTCAATGACAATGAGTAGGCAAAAGGAAAAGTAAAAGACACTCAAACATCCATCGCAAAATAAAATGTGACATTATCAAAAGAATTATACAGCGGTATCGTGACCATCACACACTTTTCCTTAGAGCCCGCCGGAACTGACCAAAGCTTCACACATGCATGCTTACGTGTCAAAGGTAAAACAACCACAGAAGAAGTTATCTTAATGGGAACATTTGAAATTGTATGGAGCTGATGAAAAGATTTGTTTGTTGAATTTTAGAGTAATCTAAAGAACTCTTAAATTCCATACCTGATAGGACTTAAAAGCTGATAAAGATCCAAAATCAAAACTAAACATTTTCTTATTTTCTGATGGGCTGAAAACAGTCAGTTTTCTTTTCCCTTTATTTATTTTTTTTTTTCTAAATTTAAGGATAAAAAGTATTGAGATGGCAACTTTAACCACATTTAAGCAGGATGAGAGAACAGTCATGGCCATTGTCTTTTCAAAGGTAATATAAGGGGTATTTCAATTCAATTCATGTTAATTTATATAACACTTTTCACAATTTAGATCGTGTCAAACCAGCTTAACATAGTTCTAATATATTCAGTTTACAGAGTTTAGTTCAGCGTGGTTTAAGTTTCACTGCTGAAAGTTCAAAGACTGAAAAGCACATCCACCGAGTCTCTCCACAAGTCCTGTTCCAAGTAACCCAGTGACGAGGAAAAAAAATAACTTCACCAATTGACAAAGTGAAGAGAAAAAAAAATACCACAGAGAGGAACTACGCTCTGCTTGGCACGACCATTATTCTTCTGGCCAAGCTTCCTGTGTGGAGCTGCAGTCTAGGCGCCAGAGGCTAGAGAAGCTGGACATCATGGATTTCTGCATTTTTTTGTTAATTATAGGCAACAATTGTTACTGATTACTGATTTGTTTGACATTGGTCTTATGAAATATGGCATAAAGTGATGAGCTATCACTCATCCAGTTTATCATTAATTAAAAACAAAAAATACATTTAGTTGTATACTCTAGAAGTTGTGAGGACAATTTGTACAGTATGATATTGTGGCTTATTAAGTGGGTTTCACTTGGGGCTAAATACTGTTACAAAAATGTTTGACATACTCTGAGGCTAGTGTCTGCCTGGCTCATAACTTCAACCTGCAGTGCAAAGTTGATGCATTCCATATGAGGGAGCATCTGTAAATGAACATTCTTGATTTGCAGAACATGTTTACAGTTTGATACACTTTAATTATAAACAGAAGCATAACCCAATATAGTTCATAACTGTTTTCTTTTAAGCTTCCACTTATCATTAACCCTATATGCATATTTAATTTAAATGCACCATGTTGGGACTTTCTCAGCTTTTCAAGCTGTATGCAAATACACCAGCTCAGACAGTAGCCGAATGCTGACTAATTTCATTGGCTGATGCTGCTATGATGATGTCGTCAGCCGCAACTTAAGACATGCCCTCCGTCAAGCATTGACGATGAAGCCCCGTGTGAATGGAGCGTTTTACAAGATTTTCCAATATGATGATACAAAGTACTTTGATCAAATATACAGGTGATAATAATAGTAATAATTATATATTTACCTAATCCAATTGCCGGTTCATTATGCTGTCGTGACGCCTGATGAAGCAGGGAATAAGCTGAAGTAAAGTGAATGAGTAAGTGATGTTACCTTATTATCTCCATTCAAAACCTAATATCCAATAAATCCACTCCACTTTCATTGCATCATCAGCTCACCTTTTTTATTGTTTTAAAAAGTAAACTTCTAGTAGTGAGAACGTCAATTCTGCATATAAAATGTGTTTTCAGTATCTGATTTCAAGCACTTAGCCAAGTTAGTTGCCATTTTTACCAAGTATTAACATGCATGCATTCTGTATAAGCACTGTATGGAGGAGATTATGTATGTCAACCTTTTCCATTTAAAATGATACTTGTAAGACACTCCCTTGAACTCAGATTAACAGTTATGATAACATTGCTGAAAGTTTGGAATTTAGCCCTGGCTGTCCACGAGTTATATAAGTTCCCTGCACTTCAGGAACTCATTACAGTAACGCCCATAGAGTAGGGACACAGACAGAAAAAGCAAACGGTAGAGGCTGAGAAAGACCACTGAAAATCTTTGGATCATTTATTATTAGAATACTAAAAGTATAGGAGCAAGAATATCTGGAAAGAAAACAGAATAAATTAATAATTCAAGCGAACAAAGTCGAACTAAATATCAAAAGCTAAGGCAGTGAACTAAAACAGCTAAAGCATAAAGGAAAAAGACAGATTTTTGAGGCAAAAAGTAAGATTTCAGCAATAGCAAAGAGGCAAAGACAAGAACGTGGGGAAACAAAGGAACAGAAGATATTTCAGAGGACGTACGTGTTGTAATGGAACAGGAACCACTGAGCTATGAAGAAGCCATTACAAGGGCAGCAGATGCTATTCAGCGATTTCCTCTAAAAGATGTTCAGGGTGTTCCTCTCATGAGCACAATTGCTGACAACTGGAAATCCATTTCAGAATTCTGCCCTGACCCATCAGACCTACTGATCTCTACTTACCCTAAAGCAGGTAAATTATTATCGAGTATGATCCTTAAGCATATTGTATGGCTAAATTAAACAATACAATGGAATGCATTCATTTATTTACTTATATATATAAAATTTATTTTCTGTTGTGGGGACAAAAATATATAATAACAAAGAACATTCTATTTGGCCTTTAAGATGAATAATGTGCACTAGTTTAATAAAGAGATACAATTTCAGAAACGGCATACCAGTATTTTATCTTCCTATTACGGTTCACGTTATGTGTCAGGCTTGACATGTCTCAGGTTCTTGTGGACAGCTAAAGCTTGATCAATTTGATGGGTAAGGCAGGTTTGCAGCTCATAAATACATATATGCATTCCTAAGAACTCATCATAGAATGCTAATAGCAACAGCTGTCATAATGCATTGACTGTCCAAAAAAAAAAAAAAATGAATTTAAGATGTGCTAGTGAACATGACTGAGAGGTTCTGCACTGAGTCAGACAGTAATTAAGCTCCTGTAATGCCAATATCAATTTATGATTTTGGCAAAAAATCAGCGTGATATTGCATATTGTGCCATGAATAATGTAAATACAATCCTAACCCTGTAAGGTCCACTGTTGTAATGTCATAATAGCAGTTTTAGCTGTATTTAAATAAATAAAATTATATTCCTCTCAGGTCACATTTCACAAGCCACAATTTTAAATGGTCGATTTAATAAATAGGTGTTATACTGACAATGAACTCAATAGTTAAGTAAGTAAAATGCTTAAAACTGTTTTTCAATTTATTTTTCATTTAAAGAGAAGATTTTCTTTTCTTTATTTATTAATATAGGTCTGGATTATGCAGATGTTAAAATACCCTTGAATTATTGATTATATTGGATTTTTAATCTATGGCAGTGTTGTTATTGGGGTTTTTTTCTTTCTTTCTTACTTTTTTGTTTTAAACCAAGTTTAATTATTAAATACATTTATAGAACAAATATATATATATATATATTACTTGATAATATGAAAGTAAATTGAGCAGTAATATTTGAAATGATTGGTTTCCATTAAACTTGCATCAGCTGACTCTCAGCAGATCCACATCTACCTAAAACATTTCTAAACAGTATCGCTTATTTTTACATCCCAACATTGCCAGATATGCACTACATGACTTGATTTTATGCCTTTATCACTTTGGTGTTCGCACTACGTAACACTACATAAATGACTCACATGAGGGAGGTCACTTTTTTCCTAACAGCTTTTTTTGTATGATAATTCTTCAACAATAAACAAGAATAACTCATAATATGTGTCGTATTCAGTATAAAGTAACACTTTTAAGTACACTACTTGTTACTTAAATTTCCCAAACAGTAATTTTTGGGCAAGGTATCGGATCAGTATCAACGATACTCGCCTTTATTTTACTTGGTATCATGGGACAGAAAACCAGTGGTATTGCACATTACTAGTCTCGAGTGGCCTGACAGTGCACCTGACATCATATCTCAGATGTGTGTTTTTAATGACACAGAAACAGCTGTTTTCAAACAGCATGGCTCCACTGACTGCAAATTTTGGCACTTGTAGCGTTAAAGCTCAAGGAGGATATATTATATATATATATATATATATATATATATATATATATATATATATATATATATATATGTATATACAGTTAAAGTCAGAATTATTAGCCCCCCTGTTTTATTAGCGCCCTTGTTTATTTTTTTCCCCAATTTTTGTTTAATAGAGGGAAGATTGTTTCAGCACATTTCTAAACATAATAGTTTTAAAAACTTATTTCTAATAACTAATTTATTTTATCTTTGTCATGATGACAGTAAATAATATTTTGCTTGATATTTTTCAAGACACTTCTATGCAGCTTAAAGTGACATTAAAAGGCTTAACTAGGTTAATAAGGTGAACTAGGCAGGTTAGGGTAATTAGGCAAGTTATTGTATGATGATGGTTTGTTCTGTAGACTATCAGAAAAAAAATTAGCTTAAAGGGGCTAATAATTATGTCCCAAAAATGTTTTTAAAAAAATTAATAACTGCTTTTATTCTTGCCGAAATAAAACAAATAAGACTTTCTTCAGAAGAAAAAATATTATCCGACATAATGTGAAAATGTCAATGCTCTGTTAAACATCATTTGGGAAATATTTAAAAAAGAAAATAAAAATGAAAAGGGGGCTAATAATTCTGACTTCAACTGTATATATATATATATATATATATATATATATATATATATATATATATATATATATATATATATATATATATATATAAACAGCTTGTTGGCTTTTGAAACCAACATAATTAGATATTATAAGTCTACTTAATTTGCAATTGTTTTTCTTTTTTATTTGAATGGCCTGTCAAATATTTATTTATGTATTTATTTATTTTGCATAAGGCTTAACGCTAGTCGGAGACTAAACTGCAATATGAACTTCTTAAATCTTAGATTTTAAAATACAGTTGTATCATTGGTTTGTCTTAAGATGAAATCCAGTAAGATTTAATCTGTCTGTATTGAGGCACTACCTGGACTCAAGAGATAGTGGATCTTCTGCTAAACAATGGAGATGCTCAGGTGTGCAAGAGAGCACCAACAGCTGTCCGTATTCCCTTTCTGGAAATTTGTGCTCCTCCGCCCATACCTTCAGGTATACATTTAAACATTTTATAGCATGCCTTTTCATACATAAAATTGTTTTGTTATGATAATTTTGTGTTACCGCACTTGTACAAAATAACATTTATTGCATATATTTGTTTATTTATTTGCTTCATTTAGGGCTTGAATTGCTTAAACAGATGAAACCACCTAGAGTCATTAAAACTCACCTGCCCATTCAACTAGTGCCTGTAGGATTCTGGCAAAATAAATGCAAGGTTAAAATTCAATTCTTAAACTGAACTCAAATCAATACCTCTTGTTAAATACTTTTTGATAAATGTCATTATGAGAATATTAACTCTGGTAGCATTCTCATCATTTGCATATGCTAGCATTATGCACTTTTGCTACATAAAATTGTATATAGTTTGTGCAGGATATAAAACACAAATTGCTTACAAGAAATAGCTTAATTTTCCCAGACCTTTGCAAGCATTTTTTACTCATTTATGAACTACCTCTCACCACAAGGTCAAGCTAATTATGTCAACATCCTGCTTTTCCCCAGGTCATTTATATGGCACGGAATGCGAAGGACAACCTTGTAAGTTACTTCCACTTTGATCGTATGAATCTTACCCAGCCTGAGCCAGGACCTTGGGATGGATACATCCACAAGTTCATGAAAGGACAACGTAAGGAAACATTTATTTAAGCTAATATATACTGTACAGGGGTTGGATAATGAAATTGAAACACCTGGTTTTAGACCACAATAATTTATTAAATATATAGTATAGTGTGGAGCCTCCTTTTTCAGTCAATACAGCATCAAGTAATCTTGCAAATGACAGGTACAAGTCCTACACAGTGACCAAAGTGATGTTGAGCCATTCTTCATGTCGAATAGTGGGCAGGTCACTACATGATGCTGGTAAAGGAAAACATTTGTGGCTCAATAATTTTTAGATCTGGTAAATGTGCAGGCCATGAAAGATGTTCAACTTCGTTTTCATGTTAGAGTCCAAGCTGGGCCAGTTGGCATGTCTCTGTGTGGCATGGGGCTTCTCCCTATGTTTATGTGGGTTTCCTCTGGAGAGTGTATGTGTATGGGTCTGAATGAGAGAGTGTATGGGTTTCTCAGTAAGTTGCTTGGTTGCAGCTGGAATGACATTTACTGTGTAAAACATATGCCAGAGTAGCTGGCAGCTCATTCCACTGTGGCGACCCCCGATGGATGAGGGACTAAGCCGAAGGAAAAAGAATGAATGATTGGTTTTGTGATCCAAGGTCACATGTGTAGGTCAGAGATAATAAACATCCAGCTGGTTATATTCACAGAACAAAGCCTGAATTACATTGTCTTAAGGTCAGCTCACACTGCAGTTTTAAGCTAAACGATTGTAGCTTGTCAGACTGCACGAACATGGCTCATATGTCACACTGTTAGATCTCAGCTGTCAATATCAGACTGAATGACAATGAAGACGCGCCAAACATGAAAGACTTTTGACACTCTCACTATTCCCCGTTCTGAAATGATTTCTCACAGCAAATGTAAACAATCTGTAGCGGCAAGTTTGCACATGGCGTGTCTTAATAATAAAACCAGGAAGAAAAAAACTGTTTTGACATTTTCCCGCAGTCATCTAAATTGTCACATGGATTGTGTCATGAAATTCTAAGCTCCTATTGGTTCTTGGATTGATGCTCATCGCAGCTGTTGTCACACTGCAGGAAAGTGTCTGAAATCTGCTGATAATGCCGGAACTTTATGGGAGGAAAAATCTGATCACAACGGGCACTAAACGGCTGTCTGTGAACATGTCAAATCAACAATCAAAGATCACCGATTTTAGCCTAGTATTTAAAGAATCTTTTAGGTTTTCCCAAATTCGTCTCCGATGACAGATGCAGGGCTTTTATTTAAGTACTTCATTTTTGGGCTAAATAGTCCTGTACTACAAACACTAACTTTTTAAGTAGCTAGTTCCACTGACTTAGAATATAATGTCTAATCTTGTGTTGTTTTTACAGTAGGTTGGGGCTCTTGGTATGACCACGTAAAAGGTTACTGGAAGGAATCCAAGGAAAGGAATATTCTCTACATACTCTATGAGGATATGAAAGAGGTAAGTTTAGTTAATGTCTTTTTAAGACCTTTTTGTCAAATGTAATTTAATTCATGTTTTAGTTTATTGTTTTATATGTTCTTTTTATTTCTCCTCAACAAGAACCCTTCTAGAGAAATTAAGAGGATCATGCACTATTTGGACCTGTCTGTTTCTGAGGATGTCATAAATAAGATTGTGCAGCTGACATCTTTCCATGTCATGAAGGACAATCCAATGGCTAACTACTCATACATCCCCAAAGCTGTGTTTGATCAGTCCATTTCTGCCTTCATGAGAAAAGGTCCATATTAACACCTTATCAGATATCCCTAAATCATTTATTCAAAATTAATTTGTTTTAACTTTTAAATGTTTTAGTTGAAGAATGTAGAACAAGAGCTATACTACTTTGATAACACTGTCATAACTGTTTTGAGGCTAACTGGGATGTAGTTATAATATGAAGTTATCTTTAGCAATGTTTTATCATTTTTGTCCTAGGAACCCATTGCTCTTAATATTTTGTATTTTTTGTGTCTCTGTTATCTGACACTTTTAGTTCAGTGCACTAAGTTATAATGTGCCAAGGATCTGAATAAGATCATTATAAAGTCATATAATAAAAATTGCGCAAAATGGTGAGTCCCCAGATAAGAAATAATCAATTGATAAAAAATAAATAAATCTTACGAGTTGATTAGTTATAAAATTTCAGCACAGGGAATCAACTTACTCTCTCAAGAGAAATCAAATTACTCTCGAGTCTCGATCCGTTATCTGTGAATTCTGACTCCCTCCTCGCTGCCTTTTAATTCTTGCCATTGTGGGTTTAAGGGATTTTATCACGTCAATTAAATTGTAATAAAATCATTCTATTGAATATTTTACATTCTGTGAGTGATAAAACTTCCTCTAAGTTACATATACTGTAGCCTATATAGCAGGAGAAAAACAGGGACTGCAAGAAGCTGAATTTCAGCTCTGAGAATCTCTGATATTAATTAAAATTATGCTTTAAAGTTAGACAAGCAATATCTAAAGCTGTTGATATTATTATTATTTTTTATTATTGCAGCTTCTGTCATGCTTTGATTAAGTATGCACATTTATATGGATCCACAGAAGTGCTGTCTTTTGATTTAGTGTTTTACTGCTGCTGTAACCAAATGTCCAATCCAACAAATTCCCTTTAAATAAAGTTTAATCTTTGCAGAACAAACAAATAAACAAACAAAAAAACTGTGTTAAGGTAAAGCTAAGAGTGGTCCAAATCAACCATATGAAAGTACGACTTAATGAGGGTATACTTGACTAAGAACATTTCTTGAAACACATAATAATGATAAGGTAGAGCTTAAGGTTGAGATTAACATAAACTTAGAATTGATGCATACTTAAAAAGGTTTTGGAAATACAGTTTGGCTTTTGTAACATACTAGACCAATCATAATGGCAGTTGTATTTTTCTTGTAAAAACAAATGATATATCATATGTATTTGGTGTTCAAAATGAATGACTAAGTGTGTTTGTTTGCACAGGAGAGGTTGGTGACTGGGTAAACCATTTCACCCCAGCTCAGTCCAAGATGTTTGATGAAGACTATACAAACCAGATGAAAGATGTGGACATACCCTTCCGCTTAAACATTTAATCTCTAAATAATGTATGCAGTATTAAAATATATTTAATATCACAAAAACACTGCTTTATTTGACTGATTATATATACTATGCATGAATTCATACACAACAGATGACTCAATTTTCTGTATTTCTGTAAAGGTTAGCCTTATATCAGATGTCAAACAATTTGCTTTCAGATATTTTAATATTATTAATTATAGTTTGATTATTTGTAGTTTAGGATTTTTATATATATTTTTGAATTGTTGTCATTTTTGGTCACATATTTGGCTAATGTAATATAATTTACAATTTGTAACATGTTTAGCATGATTTAAAACAATATTAAAATGTTTTGGCAGATATTCAGCATATTGTCTTCAAATAAATTCTAGTTTAAATATTCTTAGTTCACATGAACATGCAGTATGGAAAAGGAGCTTAATAACTTGTAGATTAAAAAAATTAAATAGTTTAATAATTTAAAAGTAAGGGTGGCATGGTTACTCAGTGGTTAGCACTGTCCCCTCACAGCAAGATGGTCCCTGATTCAAGTTCCTTGGCATTTCTGTGTCCAGTTCATGTTTCCAACCCCCCACTCCCCACCCCCACCCCCAAAGACACTATAAGTGATTTGAATAAAATTAAATTGGCTTTGTTGTATAAGTGTGAACATGAGAGTGTATGGTGTGAGTGTATGGGTGTTTCCCAGTACTGGGTTGCAGCTGGAGGGCCATAAAACATACCAGAATAGTTGGAGGTTTATTCCTCTGTGGTTACCCCTGACAAATAAAAGGACTAATAAATAAATGAACATTGTGTCAAAACAGCTTTAACATAGAATTTATAGTCAACTGAAACTGCTTCAGTTAGTTCAGTTCAATGCATTGTAGTCCAAATATCCTTATCACAGACAGGAAAAAGTGACACCCTAATATCAGTTTTTTTTCTGTGTACATATGCAGGCAGTATTGGAGGATTTTCAAGAATACTAATCCGAACTAAGCCAATCAGGACTTTATAGGTAGTCAATAAGATTTTAAAGTATACGATGTTAAATAGGGGGCCAACGCAATGATGTAAGAACTGGAGTAATATAAGGGATTTATAAAGCATAGTCCTCACTTTAGATTAAGTCACAAAACTGAAGTTGAGTTAATAAAGCATTTATTAACATACATAGTAACCATTAATATATGCCTGAATAATAAGACATAACGTTGATTTCAATAGTTTATTAATCATTTACTAACTCATTCTGAATGATCCTAAACCCTCAACTACTCTTAAATACAAATGGTTTGTAAATAATGCAATACTTAGTTTATTTTTCATTACTAAAGGAAGTATTGCATTAAATTATAATTTGTAATACTTTATAACTGCAGCTACAAATGCTCTATTCTTGACTTACAAACATATTTAAAATGTGCTTAATAATTGTATTTTTATATATTAAGCACATTTTAAATATGTTTGTAAGTCAAGAATAGAGCATTTGTAGCTGCAGTTATAAACTGCTTAATGATGTTTATTAATGTAGAGTTAATGCTTAACAGATAATGATTTCACTATTTGCTAATGTTTAGTAAATTATTTATAGTGTGTAGTTATTATACAGTGTTACCTAATAATCTACTTGAGAGGTTATGAATAAGTTAGGGAATAAGCATAAGTAAGAAAATAAATAAATTATGTAAAGAAGAAAGAAATCAAAGGCGAAATCACAAAACACCTTTAGACTCCAGAGGGTTAAGTCTCTTAATCCACCAAGAGTGATATACAGATGTGAGGCTTAAATTGATGTGGATGTTCTTGCATGTTATATATAATATGATAAACATAAAATATATTTATATTTATTTTATTGAAAACAAGCTCAAGCGGTGGACTTCTCCGTCCTAAAAATAGGAAAAGTAGATTCTGACATACCCTTAATGCTTTTGTGCCCTGTGCTTTGGACTTTGCGCCTAGATTGTTAAAGAAGAGCCCTCAGGGTGTTTTTAGAACCTTTTTATTTATTTTTAATTAATTTTCTCCAAAACCTACTAACCACACATACATTTTTTTTCCTAAAAAAGTATCCAAGAACTAAACTTACAGTAAATGTATACTACTAGTGCATAGATGTTAATATGCGACATACACGTAAAATATACTCCAACATTATTTAAGTATATTTAATAAAATTAACTTGATGTATCTATTTTTTTATACTATCTTATACCATTTTTTTAATCGTTCATTAAAGAAAGTTCATTTAAATGTCTATTAACTAGATGTTTACTAGATGTTGCATTTTTTCTGCAAGAATTATTTCTCCTTTTTTGTCTTTATTCAAAAGTCTTCTTTATCAGTGAGAAAGAACATATAGCTTCTGTGCCACACTCTCCAGTCGGTCCCTGTACTCCAAGTTTTTGTAGTTATACAGCGGTACTTCATCTATTCCATGAATCAGACCCCAACAGCAGCAGGCAATCACTGCAGTACTGTCACTGTCACCTGGAAAGAGAGAGGTTTTAAATATAAACAAATGAACACTGTATGAAAGTGAAGTGGATTGTTGTACAGTCTGACCAGTACAGAAACTTTTAGCTTTCTTTGAACAGATTTTCAATTAAAACTAACATGATAAACCAAAACACCACATCTCTAAAATCAAAGACAATCATGTGGCTTCAGAAAGTTTGCAACTAAATAACTAAGAGAACTAAACATTTTCAACGGTTACGATAATGTGTACAAGATGAAAATGCTAAATGTTGTTTACAATTTTTAAAACAACCAAATTGGGGGAAAAAAACAACAACTACCACCAGAAGAACATGACTAAAACCTGGAGATGCAAATTCAATAAACTGAAACAGGTGAAATGTCTAACATTCTGCATTCACAATTTAAACTGCATGTCGTGTTTGTTTATGCCAACACACACAAAAAAAAAATAGTTCAACTAATCAGTGGAGAAATGCATTGAGTTTAGCAATAAATGTGTTAATTTTGACCTGCAACAAGGACTTCATTGCTCTTTCTAAATCATGTTGCAGTGTGTCTGTCAGATCAGCAGACCGCATTCATAACAGTGGAGTAGAGAGGGTAATTACCTGCTCTAGGTCAAAGTAGGCCTACCCGATATTTAAAATTAGAAAAGGGTCAATAATACTTTGGACAGATTCCCAACGCACTGATTTTTTCCCTTTGTGCTGCTAAGTTTTTGAATTTGCCGCAGATACCAGAGAGCTGCAAGCTGTGTCATCAAGGGCTTCATTCGCATGACGGTTGAGCAAACGCAATATTTTGAACTTGTTTTAAAATTCACCGCAAATATCATTCGATTTTCTTTTTTATTTTGTATATAACTGACCAACAAAAAAGTCTTTGTGTTTTAAAGTGGTAAAAAAAAACAAAAAACGTTTTGATGAGTTACTGCCACCTCTCCCTTCAGTCGGTGACATGACCAATCAGTCATTGGTCTGACACGAGAAACTTGCTTGATGGAAAGATGACTGTAGAAGATTTATTTCTGAAGCAGGACCATACCGTGAGAAGTACAATGTCTTAAAATTAATTCTGATGCTGTGCTATTGTTCATAATCCTATGTTTTACAATTTTTTTATATAGTAAAGTATACCATGTTAATTACTTTTAGTTCACAATAGTTAATAATAATACCATATTACATAGTAGAATTTATCAACAAAGTTGTATATACTAACTAACTTTGAATAGCCAACTTTTAGGCAGAGTGCTAACTGTGGGCACAAAGGTTGTTTAGGATGATGAGATAAGAAATTTTGAAAGTTACATTTTAAAGGTTGCACTTTACACTTTGTGCAAGCAGAGATGAAAGGGACCTTGTACTCAGACTCACCGCCATCTGGTGGCCTCAGGGTGACAGAGAACAGTGGGCAATATTAGTTTCAGCTGATATATATATATATATATATATATATATATATATATATATATATATATATATATATATATATGCATACAGTTGAAGTCAGAATTATTAGCCTCCTTCGATTTTTTTCTTCTTTTTTAAATATTTCCCAAATGATGTTTAACAGAGCAAGTAAATTTTCACAGTATGTCTGATAATATTTTTTCTTCTGGATAAAGTCTTATTTGTTTTATTTTGGCTAGAATAAAAGCAAATATTTTATATTTTTTCTCTAATCTACAGAACAACAGTTAACAGAACAAACTATTGTTGTACAATTACTTGCCTAATTACCCTAACCTGCCTAGTTAACCTAATTAACCTAGTTAAGCCTTTAAATGTCACTTTAAGCTTATAATTTACAGTCATGATGGTAAAGGTAAAATAAATCCATTATTATAAATGAGTTATCAAATCTATTATGTTTAGAAATGTTTTGAAAAAAATCTGCTCTCTGTTAAACAGAAACTGGGGAAAAAATAAACAAGCGGTCTAACAATTCAAGGGGGCTAATAATTCTGACTTCAACTATATGTAAATATATATATATATATATATATATATATATATATATATATATATATATATATATATATATATATATATATATATTAGGGGTATAACGGTTCGCAAAAGTCACAGTTCAGTTCGATACGACACAGTGGTCACTGACAGCATTGTGATGAATAAATGAAGGATTATATAACGTTTAAAAATTCTCAAGCTTAAAATATGTAGATGAGGCAATCACTGTTTCCTAAAAACCTTACAATGAATTACAATTAAGCTTTACAATGAATGCTTTAGTAATTTTAAACCAATCCTGAACGCTGTGTTTGGTGTTTTTAGTTGCTTAATGCTTAAAAGCCTCCTAATTCCGCGCATGTGGTAAACATGTTGCTGTGAAAACTGGTCGCACAAATGCTCCAAAATATATTTTGACATTTTAATACATAGATATTGTGACACATAGATAAAATTTTGGGCACACATGCGACCAAAACGGTCAATTTCGAGCACCGTTTCATATCCACAGCTATAAATGTACCGAAACCAAAGTGCTCCCAAACGCCAGACCAGCTGTTAGTTATAGGAGGATTACATTAATCCTTACTAGTTATTTTGTGACCTAGAGCAGCGTTTGCCTGACTGGAGTAGTGTTTGGATGTGGGCGGGGAAGGCAGCATGTTGCCTGTCACGTCATTTGGGATGCCTTGTTGTGCGTTGTTGCACTGAAAACTTTATATTTTGTACACTTATTCTCTTTTATCTTTTAAGATATTAGACTAAATCATTTGTTTGTGTGTATATATATATATATATATATATATATATATATATATATATATATATATATATATATTGCACTTTATTTTAACAGACATTTTAACATAATTTTATGTTTTTTGTTTGGCAGCCGTAGCTGAAAGTCATTTGACATTTTTTTTACGATGTTTTATTATTTTTTAACAGAGCAAGTAATTACAATTTATTACTTTAATTTTACGTAATTTTAAATGTACTTCATAAAAAACAGGAAAAAACACTGTGTAAACAATATGGCAATTTTATTGTATAAAACAGACAAATTGCTGTAATTTGTCATTACTTATATAGTACATAAAATAACAGTCAAGCTGTTAATTTACAGATATTGTTTGCAATTTTTACGGATTTTTGAATGTAATTTAAAATAACAGAAAAAATACCGTAGAAGTAATACTGTAATTTCCCTGTATAAAAAACAAAAATGTCAGTAATTTGTCTTTAATGATAAAGTACCTAAAATGAAGTCAAACTGTGAATTTAGAGAGATTGTTTGTCATTTTACTAAGTTCTACATATGATTTTAAATGACAAAAAATAACTGTAAAAAAATTAGGGATATTTTCTGTAAAATTAAGTTGTTTTTTTTTTTTTTACAGTGTAGCTTAACTACATTTCTCAGTAGTGTGGCGGTAGCGTCGCTAAAAAGCTTTTCAGTAGCGAAGCTATTTTATTAGTGAAGTAGCGCAGTAGCGTCCACACAAGCTAAATTTACATATCAGGGATCCATAAGTGACAGCACGGACATTCACAGAGCTGTGAGGCCGGTGTCCAGCTGGCGAAAATAAAATTCCAAATAATGATGAGAATTGTGATTTCTTCTTCTTCCTGTTTTACGGTGACAACTAACTTTTTGGTGCGTTACTGCCACATCTCACTCTGGTCGGTGAGATCGCCAACTAATAGACCAAATACCATGTTTGTAAAAATTCAGGATGCAAGCAAAGTCCAGCATTTCTAATTAGGTCTTCACTTCATTCAGCTGCCTTTTACGCCAAAGACTTCTGCAGTTGGCATCAAAGCAGTGTGGTGTATGGTAAAATTGATCGAATTTAGCATCCTACCGCACAACACGACATATATATATATATATATATATATATATATATATATATATATATATATATATATATATATATATATATATATATATAAATATATATATATATATATATATATATATATATATATCTTTGCTTGTCCAATATTTTTATCAACTCATATTTTATAAAACACAAAAGCCATATATATGAAATAAATAAATACAAACTTTAATCTCAATTTAATTTCTGTATACTGTCAATAAAGATATTTGTTAAGTTCTAAAAAATACACTATTCATTCATTTATTTTTCTTCGCATTAGTCCCTTATTTATCAGGGGTTGTCGCACTGGCATGAACTGCCAACTATTACAGCATGTTTTATGCAGGAGATGCCTTTCCAGCCACAACCCAATATTGGAAATCATCCACACACAAGCATTCACACACACTCATACACCACAGCCAATTTAGCTAATTCAATACACTATTCACTCAGCCTATGTTCAATAATAAACATAACAAAAACTGCCTGCAAATGCATGGGTAAATCTTCAAAGGGAAAAGTGAACTTTATAACCTCATTCACCTCATCCTGCTTGCTGTTTCACTATCTAAACAATGAAAACACAATACAAGTCAAATTTGTTTTATTTTGATATTATGATTAACAGACACCAAACAGCATCGTGTAGCTATATATTTATATGAGCGTCATCTTCACTCTGCATATTTATAACAAATCAGGGCTTATATAACTGCCTCCTTTCATTTTCATTGAAAAGAACAAACTTTACCACATCTCTTTTGCAGAATTTTTGTTTTAATAATCAATAATGGCCATTATAACAGTATAACGTACATTAAATTTATATGATAAAGGTAAGCAATCAGTCAATGTGCCGAATCAGTGTAAGTGGCAACATAAATTAATATATTAGCTTATCTTTGCACTCAGCCAAAACAGAGTTACCTGAGAACAAGTGATTCAAAAGACATAAGAGTTGTTAGATAGAGACAAAAAGATGAATTCAATATCACATTTAACAACTATAGTGAGATGAGATCATCCAGCAGATGAACTGTCTGACATGCACTATACTCTCACCTGGGGTTTATGCTCACCCGCTGAACTACTGGCTGCAGCTCTTGGCAGAGAGTGTGTGGTCACGTGATTTGCGTTTTTAGCCGTGTACTAGAATGAACGGAGAACTTTTTAGAACCGCTAAATGAAACAGCGGTGTATTTCCTGCGATTTCTCTGCGCCTCCCTTGCGTTTCTTCTCTCTGACTCTTGACTATTTTGACAAATACACACAGACAACGCACGCTCACACAAAGTTCAAAATAGGAGTTTGTGATTGGGCCAGCCCATTGTCAATACAGAAAAGAGTACTGTAGACTACTGTAGTAAAGGCTAAAGTAATTTATTGTAATTGCTATTAGGTCATGATAGTTATTAATGATACTACATTATGTAGTGTAATTTATAAATGAAGAGTTGTAAATATACACATATATATATATATATATATATATATATATATATATATATATATATATATATATGTACACACACACACACACAAAATATAATGTGTATTCCTAAATATTTCCCTTTTATATAAATTACTATAAGACTTTTAACGTGCAATGCCTGGTTTTATTGGAATTTTTGATGTTTGCCTCATATGATTCATTACAGTTTTATTGATTACTAAGATATGATAGACTTGGATTTAAGTTGCTTTGATTTCAAAATAAAATTGCAAAACTAGAGTAGATGTATTTTTTTATTGCAAACTGCACAACTAACTAAAACTTAGATTTTGTAACAACAGTAAACAATGTTTTTTATATAAGGTGTGGTTTTGTGGTGGCTGTACTTTAAAAATAAATCAATATAATATTAATTTAAATGATGAAAGTGCTATTGTAACGTCACACCAGCTTGGTATAAATGCTTAAGTTAAAGTTAAAATTATCCATTAGAAACTTAAAATTCATCAAAAAGTAATCAGATGTAATCAGTCACTTTTCTTTTATAAAGTAATCGAAAAGGTACACTACTTATTACATTTTAAATAGGGTAATTTGTAATCTGTAATCTATTATATTTCTAAAGTAACCTCCCCAACACTGCAGGTAATATTGTACATTTGTCAAAAAAAATTATCAAGTATGTTTCAGTAAGAACTGTTCTCTTTGAAAAAAATTATACCATGTAATGATTTTAATTTGTTTTACACAGATATAGATTATTCATTTCATTCTAGCACTTTTAAAATGAGTAGACCTTGGTGAACCTTGATGCCTACTCCTAAACAAAGGGTATGATAATTAGTTTCTTAAATCTTAACAAGTGATATTTTTGAGAAACCTCATTTTGCAGAAAAAACAGATAAATACATTGAAAAAATGTATTGAGAATCTGAAATCATTCACTTTGTCACTAGGCCAATAGAAAACTGACCTTGTCATTCAACAACAAATAAATAAATAGAAGCATTTTTTAACTGATTCTTATACTGAATATATTTATTCTTTAATAAGTTATAAATAACATAAAAAACATTGAAACATACAATGAAACAACATATACTAGGTGTTTATTTGCTTAAGGACAGGTTGTGTTAAACTTATTGGCAATTAAAATAGAGGCAACAACTGCAGTAATGGTGATCCACACAGTGACCATTATTGTTTATTTAAATTAGACTTATGTTTTCAAAATAAGAATTTAAACATAATTAAAACATATTTTGACTTTGTGACATTATACTGCATTAATCATTCCTGTAGACAGTACCTAACAAAATAAAACTTTGCAGAATAAAAATTTTAAATCATTCTTCACCAGTAGGTGGCAGATACAAATTAGTAATGATCACCAGTGAAGCTTGGAGAACAGTGAATTGTGCCATTTTACGTTTCTATTGAAACCAAACAATCTACACATTTGGGCAAATAAAGTGAAGTACAAGTATACTAAATTAAGCCAAGTTCCAAAAAAAAATGCTTTATATACTTAATAACTGCAAATGAGCAGTATTTTAAATAAGCATATACAAATAAATGTATAATGTAATAACAAATGCATATAATAAATAAATAAATAAATAAACACAAACTTTCACATTACTTTCCTTAAGAAGTAACACATTTAGACACTTTTTAAGTGACTTAAGATTGTATTACTTTTTCCCCAACACTGCAATTAAGATCAACATCCCGTTATATTTTTTCAGATAAAACTCCAAATGTTATACCTTTCTCATAATACTTAATCATGACTAATAGAATAGTTTACTGGACAGGACTTCTAGTTTCATTTTCAGAACTGCAGTCTCAGTCAATAAAATCCAGTCAAAAACAAAAGTGCTAATCAGTAAAACAAAAAAAGTGAAAATTGTTACCCCAAAATGTTTTCTGTCTGTACACATAGTATTGTTGTTGTTTTTTTTATTACTTCTAAACATGTTTATATGGGCAAACATTCTCAAGAACAGAACTTAACTACAAAGCAAAAAAAAAAAAAAAAAAAAACATACTTTATAATCTGAAAAGTTTACCTCCATGAAATCCTGCTCGACTCATAAGTTCCTCCCAGTCTGAGCCAGCTCCTAGCAAGGCATCCAGAGCAATCATTGGAGCATCATGACCACTTCGACCAGCCCAACCTGACAGGCTAAAGCTTTTGTAGGCTTCATCTCGTTCAGCTGGCCCATAATTGTCAGGCCAATTAACTGGCCCAGTTCCAGAAGACAATGCTCTGAGATCCAAATACCTTGAAGAATAGGAAGATAATGAAGAGAAAAAAAATTCTGGTCAGATAAATGTTGTTTTTTAGAATGCCTATATTTTTTTTCATATGGTTAAACTAACATGTTTGTTCATTCTTTCACCAGCTCTATTTCGGCTTCTTTAATTCATTTTCACATTTCCTCTACTCTTTTGAATATATGCTTGATTGTGTGTATTTGTTTAGTCATAGTTTGTCACCTTACCTTAATAAAACTTTTTGTCCAGCAACAAAATCCGGTATCAAAATAGCAAATGCACCATAAGAGATGAGACTCTGCTTGGTTTATTCTCAAAACACACCCAAAACTCATCAAGAGAATAAGCACAACCCTGTTAGATCATGCGCTGCGGCATACAGCGTATTTTTCCATCTTTAAAAATAGCAAAAATTTATTCGGACACAGCCTTAATGTTTTTGCACCCTGCACTTTAGACTTAGCGGCTAGATCATTAAATTAGAGCCCTCTGAGGTTTACTCTATCGCCTATGATATAGTTTGTCCATAACAAACACCATGTTTGAACATAAAGATATCCATCAGTGCACACTGCACCAGGACACCCTGGGCCGGAGGTTGATAATTGATTTTGTGGTTGTTTCATATGATCTCCAGCCGTATTTCTTGGATACTTGGATGAAAAAAAGCCAGAGCTGTCAACTGATATCTACCTGCTGGCAAAGGAGGAGGCCAGACAATTAAGCCCTAAACATACTGAGAGGGTCATCTGTGAACGTCTTGCTGAACCATATGTCAGAGAGGTTTTCAAAAAACACTTTGAGCAGATCCCGAGGGAGGCTAGAGACATTGAGTCTAAGTGGTCCATGTTCTCTATGTTCACCAACCTGGTGTTGGACACCCCAAGTAAGGGATGCTGTCAAGCCAAAGGAGTCCTACAAGGAATGGCTGGCTTGTGGGACTCCTGAGGCAATGATTGATACAGAGGAGGCAAGGGTGCTGAAACACAGGCGGTTGTGGAAGCAAACACACAAGAAAGGGAAGAGTTCAAGGAGACCATTGAGGAAGACTACAAGTAAGTCTCAAAGAGATTCTGGCAGAAGTTACAGTTTGGTATTGTGGCGATCAAGACACATGTTGTTTAGGCTCCACGTTATTACATGTAATTTCTTCACAATACACCCTATTTTACTAGTATATCAAATTCCATATACCATTCATTTTATTTAAAGTCCACGTTTTCGGACTATCCACTTAAAATTGGCAAATCAACAAGGACAGGTTCAACACCCTCGTCAAAAAAGCAGGAAAATGGAAGATAATGAACTTGCATCTTTGCAGCTCACAATCGAGTCTCTAGTCAAGGACCTTGAAAAAATTCAAAAAGGACATGAGTGAAGAATTCATTGAACTTCTAAATAGCTTACTGGAACCAATTCCAATACTCTGACCAAAAATTAGGTAAAGGCTCTTCAATTGAAGCAGACTAATACGGATAATTCACTTTTTGGCTCATCCTTCAAGTGCATAGGGACCCACATTGCAAAAGACTTTTCCTGGACTTTTCCACCAACAACTCCAGCCTGGTCAAAAAGGCTCACCAGCACCTATTTTTCTTAAGGCAACTTGAGAAGAACCAGCTTTCATCAGCCGTCTTGTTAAACTTCTGCCGCTGCACAATAGAAAGCATCCTGACCAATTGCATCACAGTCTACTATGCAAGCTGCTCTGTTACTGAGTGTTAAGGCATTGCAGCGGGTGGTGAAAACTGCCCAACGAATGACAGGGACCACACTGCCAGCCATAGAGGACATCCAGAAAAAACATTGTCTGCGATGATCACGCAGTCTTCTTAAGGATTCCTCTCACCTTGCTCACAGACTTCCATCTGTCAGGCGCTTCAGGCTCCCCCGGACAAAAACCAGCAGACTGAGAAACAGCTTTTTCCCCTAAATTGTCTCCCTTTTGAACTCTGCCCCGCACTGACTCTTTTGCCCCCCAATACACCCCCCACACTCCTGTAACTTACTCCTCACAATCACTGCACTACTTAACATGTGCACAAATACATTTAACAATTAAAAATTGCACATATTCATTGTACTACATTGCACTGATTCATTTATTTGAACTGTACATACCCACTGCACATGGTCATTTGTAATTATGTACACATCCACTGTACATATACATTTGTAATTATGTCTATCTATCTGCACACAGACACTGTACATATTTCCATTTATTGTAAATCTCTGTTCATAGCTAACATAACCTGTATATAATGTTTATAGTACATCCATCTGTAAATATCACTATAGTTTTTTTATAACTGCACTTTATAACTTATACCTGTATCCTGCTCTAGCTGCTATTGCACTGCTGGTTAGACCTAAACTGCATTTCGATGCCTTTTACTTGTACATGTGTAATGACAATAAAGTTTAATCTAATCTAATCTAATAAAGAAAACACTAGTCAACAAGGAGGACCTGGTGTCTTGTTCAAAGCACCAAAATATACAAGTTGTAGGGCTATCAGAAAGTATCTATAGGAAAGAACTCAAGAGAGTCTACACTCTCTTAACTTCTCGGCAATAATCTAGAAGGACCACTGGAGCTGGACTGCACCCAGAGCCTCCACCCAAAATCTTGTTTCCACTAATTATCAGATTTTACTGTTACATCATTAAGGAAGCTGTCATAAGATGGGCTAAATCCCAATCATATCTCACTAACAAAAGCCAAAAATTTTAAGATGTATAAGAATTTCAGTGCAGACATGAGCTTATTCTACAAGCAAGGATTTGGAATGCTGTATCCAGTTCGCTTCTGTGAAGCAGATCTTTGAATACCCAAAAGAAGCAGTTATTTTACCAACAGAAATTTCCTGCCTAATCCTGGCACTGCAGCATACATGTTTAAAAGTCTTATGCCACTGGTGCCAATGATTTTTATTTCTTACTAAATACAAAGTTATTTTTATTTATTTTGTCAATTCATCTAGTGTACTTATCCTATGTATCATTTTTCTGTTATTAGTTGACAATTTTTACATGGCTAATCGGCAGTGTAATTATAAGTTCTGGATTCTCTTGCTGTTTGTATTGATCTACTTCCACCACTCCTTTTATTTCTCTTTCATCCCTCTCATGTACAACCTTTTGCTTCATTTGACTCCCAAGCCCATCTTTTTGCGTTTTTACATAGTGTTTTATCTTTGCAAAAATATAAATTACCAGTCCTAAAGCTAATAAAGGGAGTTTGCCTAGTTATACTGTTAAATTTGTGACTTGCAATGTGGGAAATCTGGGCAGTCAAATTAAAAGATAAAAAGGGTTTTCACACTTAAAGAATTTGTCCACAGATATTGCTTTTCCTCAGGAAACCCCTTTTAGAATATGTGACCAGACTAGACAACGTAAAACATAGGTCCACTATTTTATTACACAAACATGTAAAATTTCCTTCAGACCATGTATTCTCTAATTTAGGTGGGCGCCTGGGCGGATTGTAATTGTTTTAGGTACTCTGTACCAAACACATGTTAACTTAGTGTTTAAGCTCTTATAACATCACCACTTTTGTTAATACACTTTACTCTTGCCAACCAAATTTAGACAACACCTTATCTTAGGTGGAGATCTTAATTGCACTATTACCTCAATTCTGGACTGTTCACAACCAAATACATCAACTCCCACATCAATGACTAGAGTGTTATCCTCTCTAATGGATCAGTTAGGAAGAGTAGATACTTGGCTCTTCCTCAATTAAACTGCTATATATATATATATATATATATATATATATATTTATGTCCACTATGTTTATTAACTTGCGTGGCAAAGCTGCACCCTGTTTGCTAAATAGGAATTTTGCAACCATATTTCTACAGATATTGATATTAAAAAAAGAAAAAAAAACAATAAATCAAATTCAATATCACCAATAATTCTTTGGGAAGTATTTAAAGTGTTAAAGTATTATTTCTTTTAATTTGCATTGGTCCTTGAAACTAGAACAACAGAGTTGTACCAATTCACCAAACCCTGTTCTTAAAACAAAATAGCTGAAATTAAAAACAAAATTTGATTTATTGACAACCAGCTAGGCAGTATTAACCATGAAAAGCAAAAAGGCTCCAGGCCCAGGTGGCTTTCCTGGTGAATATTTTAAAAGACTAATACAATCACCCCATGAATCAAGGCTTTTTATCTGTAAACCAGGCTATGATTTCATAAATATTGAAAAAAGATAAAGACCCTAAACTTTGCAGTACCTATATACCAATAAATCTAATTAATCACAATATTAAATTTTTAGCTAATGTTTTAGCCAAATGGAATTTATGTTCCGTCCATCATATTGAATGATCAAACTGACTTCATACTAAGTGGTCATTTATCGTCTAATGTGCGAAGGCTCTTGCATGTAGTCCTCCTTTCTTCCTGGTCAGCAATGCCAAAAATCTCATTAGACGCAGAAAAATGCCTTTGACCAGGTAGAGTGGGATTACTTGTAGTTTTAAAAGGAAGGTGATGCAGAAAAGCTTTTTCTGCATGCTGCCAATGAGAAGAGCTGTTAGAGGTAGGTATGCAAAGGCTCATCTGGACAAGCCTGAATCTTTTTAGAAAAATACATTGTGGACAGATGCCACAACCACAGGCGATTTGTTTGACGGAAAAAGAACACAGCATTCCAGGACAAAAACCTGCTCTCTACTGTGAAATATGGTGGAGGGTCCATCATGCTATGGGAATGTGTGGCAGGCACAAGTACTGGAAACCTTGTCAGAGTTAAAGGTCTTTTATCCATCTCCCTCCTTTATTTAGATGAGATTATATGCACCACAAAGATTGAGTTTGGTGTAAAACTGAGCCTGTTTAAATTCTGTGCTTTCACACCTGCAATATTAAGTTTGGTTGAATTGCACTAGAGTTCGTTTTCCCTCTTGGTACAGTTTGTTTGGACAGGTGTGAATGCAGCAATCGTACTCGGGTGCACACCAAAAGCGGACCAAAAAAAAGTGTACCGAGACCTGCTTGAAGAGGTGGTCTCGGTAAGCTTTCACACGAACCCTGGAGCGGTTTGTTTGTGGTAAGAATATGATCTGAACTAAAACAGACCCAACCGCAAAAAAAAGTGTCTTTTGGACTAATCCAGCTGCCATGGGCAGCTGTGCTCTGCATTAAGGGATATGGAGGAAAAATATTTGTTGACAGCACTTTACCATTAGAGAGAGAGAAGGGAAAACATTACCTGATGGATCGTTGGTCAAACTTACGCAAGATGACCATGTCACAGTTTAGCTAAATTAATTCACATCTTCTCCTGAAGTGACATGCGATGCAATAAAAGAATTCTAGCCGCGGCCGCGATTTATTCTTGAAAATTATAGTTTGTCTAAGGCAGGGATACAATCAGCCAGTGCAGTCGTCCCTCCATAGTAAAAAGCAACATTTTGTGCCTGCCGGTTTGTTTACTTGCAGGAGTGCATTAGCATTTTATCGCATGTGAATTCTGACCAATCAACAAGCAGTTTAGGAACTATGTTCAACAACCTCTGGCCAATAAGTGATGTTGATTTTGTCAGATTAGTGTATTTTGGTTCTTTTCAACTGGTTCGAACCAAAGTCAGCAATGTGGTGTGAAAACGAACCAGAGCTGGCAGAAAATGCAACAATGTATCATTTATTGCCCTTGGTCTGGACCAAATGAACGGAACAATCTAGTTCTATGGAACAATCATATGGCCCATGTGGGGGTAAAGATGAAGTGTGGTGTTTGTTTAAATGGTAGTACGCAGTAGTCTACACTTTAGAATTTGACCATCATGGCAGGACATATGGGCAACCCGAAAATAATCAGGTGTTTAGGTGAGTAAATGACAAAGAAATTAATTTTAGGATGCCAATGCACAAACTGAGATATGATATGGTGAAGCATTCCCTGCCCTAATGGATGTCTATTAAGTGTCTCCACTGAAACATAAGAGTCACATGGGAGTAATGTGAGCTTATTGTTAGACAAATTCCCAGGACATCACATTTCCTGTTGTCCCTGAGTCAAGAAGTGCTGTGCAGTAAAATTCAAGATTAGATATGTTTTTTTAGATATCAAAAGATTGTATAAACTAGAGATAGTGATTGAACCCACTGAATGAGATGCTGTAGGTGGGCCTATGGGGCAGTTGGTCTTGATATGGTCCAACTTGCTGCAAAACAGATAGAGGTGGCCCTTTAGCCATTGCTCTCTATTCTTTTGTGAGATGAGTAAAACCTAGCTGCATTTACTTGCTTGAAGAAGGAATTGATATATCGGGTGGTGTTGAGTATTGATAACATGATGTGCGACCAATGTTGATAAGATGATCTAATTTATTGACAATTTCAATCAACTCATTCAAGTTCCTTCCCTCCACTTGACAGATTAGTTCAGACTAATTCATGAGTTCACCCTCGATGAAACATTAGTTTCAGGGGATCCTCTGCCCAGTGTTCTTTTGCTGCTAAAGTGCTGAAGGTGAGGCATACTCTGGAGCCGTGCACTCTTGCCAAAGGCGGGTTTTTGAACACTTTACAGAACTGATTCAAGGATGTGTTGAAGGTGGAAAGATACTACCATCTGTTTGTCAAACTGTGGTGTCCCACTCTAATGCCCGACCAGTCAACAAGGTGCACACATGCTATACAAATAGCATTGATGGGATATAACAGTGGTTGTTGTGTAATAAACAATGAACATTGCATCAGAAAGCCCTTACAACTTATGGCTCATCATCAAATTTATCAGCGAATGCTAACCGGATACTTACTGTAGTTTGAGTTGTTGGACTGAGAGGCATGTTGAGTGATGTTACAGGTTGTGGAGTAAAAGGCAAAACATGCATCTTTTGAATGGCTTTGATGATTTCCTCTGTCAGGGTGGTTAGAGAGCAAGTTGCTGCTGGTAAGTGGCTAACTAAGTGTCCTAGATCGAAAGCTCTGTGAATAACTGTTGTAGTCCTATTGGATCACTTTTTTGGCATTTTTTCTGTAATGACTGGCTAGAAATATGTTGATCTATTTGCTATATAATTTATTGCACAGCATAAAAAGACAATGGCAACTCCCCCAATTGTACAGTATAGTAGGGATATCCAAGTAGCTGGGTGATGAACCAGAAGAGTCTAGGGCAGGCAGCAAGGAATTGAAAGAGATATCAGGCAGAGGTTGGGGCTGGCTGCAGCTACTTAAAAAGAGATATCAGGCAAAAGTTGGGGCAAGCAGTAAAATTATCAGAGTGAACAACAGTCCAAACTGGTCCACAAACAGTCAATAATGCAAGAAAAGAAAAAGATGATGGTCATATCTAATCAAACTTTGCACTGAGCAGAGGGAAGCATGGGTTATAAATACACAGTGAAATAGCCATCACCTGAATGTTCATTTCAAATTCGTTCATTTTGAATGAATCTTTAAAATGACTCAGGAACTACAAGTCCTCTCAGAGAGTGATTCGTTCATCCGCATGTACGCACATGTGCAGGTGGTATTGTTCATTTCAAGTCTTTGGAAGACATCACAGAAAGGCAGAAGCCAATCATTTGTGTTTGATCCGTTCATCTCTAAAGTCCTCTATCGGTTTCGAGTCATTCGTTCATCACGGGGGAATCATATGCGTTTAGAACCCGAAAGAGAATTGATCCGTTCAAAACTCAGGTGATCGGTTCCTCTGGGCATAGGGAAAGTGGAGCTTGGTTAAATTGTTCACAGCAAAAAGTCAACAAGCTTATGATATTTAACCCAACATGTAAAAGAAAATTAAAAATGGTTGTGCATGACATTCCTTAACGTACAGTAGCATAGCCTATGTAGTCATAAAACAGCAAAATATCCTTCCCACTGTGAGCTAATAATGGAAAGCTGACCATAGACCCTGTCTGTGATTAACCTCCCTTACTGGGCTGGGTCAAAAGGCAATCGCAGACTGTTCTGACTACAAATATAGGCCTACCATATATAGGCCTAATTAAAATTACTAAAACTGCAGTCGTTGATGGAAATTAAGAACAGCTTCTTTCAGGCACCAACATTTGATCACATTGCATTGTGAAATGAAAATTTGGATGGAACTGCATTGTGATATACTGCACTGAAATACAGGTATATAATACGATATTATATAAAGTGCCGTTGTAAACAAAAATAAATAAAAGATTGGTGAAATTATATTCAATTCAATTCTACTTCTACGGGTAACCTACTAGTGATGGGTCATTATTGAACGATTCATTCATTTTGAATGAATCTTAAAAATGTGCAGTAAGATATTACTTTTGTAGGACTTGATCACACCAAACCCATTGTTTGAGGTGAGAGGCACCTTTTGAAAGTTATTTTCTATGAGCAGTGAGAGTTTTATGCATTGCTTATGCACCCTGGGTGCATTGCATTTTTTGCTTTTTAATAAAAATATATGTTAACAACTTGCTGCAGCATAAGAGCTCCTGGAAAATGCTAGCCATCTAACCTTGTGCACTTCACTCCCTATGCAGCCAGGTACATTAAAATCTAATGAAGCTTAAGATCAGATCTTTCAAAACAGTACATCTTGTAAAAGTGAAGCCATCAGCAATCCCCTTCTTTTCTGTCATTTTGGATTATATAATGTTTTACTATTTATATAATATTATATTATTTATATTGTTTTGTATATTATATTATAGGTGGAGTCATCACACTTCTGTTATTGGCAAGATCACTCAATGCACAATGCCGACAGTCGGTCGATGAGTAAACAAATATAATAAATGAAAATACATAGTATATGTGTATAGGCATATAATTTAATGATGTACAGTAACTTGTAATTTGTTTGCATCAGTTGTCTTGTTCTTGGCCATTTCAAGATGATGCAATGCTATTGGCCCTACACTAAAAACGTGATATTACTTCAGCCTCATTGCTCAAGCTCCTGGGCTATTAGCCCAGCCTAATGACAGCCCTGCTCCCACTGGGGTGCACTAAAATCTACCTACAACAATGAATCAGTTTCAGTTTTGTCACTATACATTTGGATTATAGTTTTATTCTTAATGCAATGTCTGTGCTTAATTCATGGAGACTATCAGTTAAAGAGAGTACCAAAAAAAAACACAATAAAACAGGAAACTGTGTGTTGAAAGCATAAATTTTACAGCAGCATACCCTAAAACAGACCACAGGTCAAATAGCCCACCACTGTATGAAATACAGTCCCAAACTAGTGAGGGGCCCTGGAACTGCTAATGTCACCCGTTCTAGGCCAATGTGGGCAACATTTCAGGGAAAATGTGGGCTTCCTGGGGGCTCGATCAGGGCTGTCCATGCAGGGGCAGTACTAAAAGGCCAATAATTTGCCAATGAGCAAACTCTCAGGGGTCCTGCACTAGGTCTGAATGCATTCATGTGGGCTGTCTGCAATTCAGGGCTAATCCCAATGAGTCCATAGTAAGCCCATTGCTGTGAGTCAGCCATAGCCTACGGTGCCTGCAAACAGCAAGCAATGGCCTGTAGTAGTATGTTTGCCACATACTCTACTGGATCTGACAGCTAATCACCACTGCAAATTTATAGTGACCTCATATAATGTGACTTTGCATCAACTTCAGTTTCAAACTATAAGAATGAAATTGTTTAGAAAAATGCTAAATTAAACAATGTTTATTGCTAACAAAATTATGGTTGATATTGACTATTTTTCAGCAATGTTTAATCCATATATACACATCTACACAAAATTTTTTTTGTCTAAGCCTCTGGGGGCGTTAGCTTCTCACCATTTCCATTTTTCTGTAAAGTAGTCCCAGTCTCTCTCAGTCTCAGTAACAGCGTATCTTGTGGACTGGACAAAGGTTTTTGCGACAGGACAAGCTTCCTCCAACAAACCCAGACCCCAGGTAGTGATTGGTCTGCGCTGGACTGCATAGGCAGTAAACAATGCTGAAGCCACAGCTCCAAGGAAACCAATTGGATGAGAATGAGTCATTCTTCCAGTCTCAACAGCAACTCCAACCAGTGAGGACAGCTGATTAGGATGAGGATATCTGTAAAGCCAAAACAATTAAATTTACCTAACACTACTGTTAAATATCTGAAAAAAAAAAAAATTATATATATATATATATATATATATATTTGTTTCTCACCTAAGGCCTATGCACATGGACCTCATAGCTGCCCCACAACCTGTGGCTTCTGGGTTATAAGGTACTCTATAACCCCCTTCAGTGCCCGGCCGCAACTGTGAAATACCTTTAGGCACAGAAGAAAATTAAGATATTTATTCATACATTCATTTTCTTTTTGGCTTAGTCCCTTTATTAATCTGGGGTTGCCACAGCGGAATGAACTGCCAACTTATCTAGCATACGTTCGACACAGCGGATGCCGTTCCAGCTGCAACCCATTACTGGCAAACACCCATACACACTCATACACCACGGACAACTTTAGCCTACACAATTCACCAGTACTGCATGTATTTGGACTTGTGGGGGAAACCGAAGCACCCGGACGAAACCCATGCACGCGATTGCGGGAAGAACATGCAAACTCAACATAGAAATGCCAACTGACCCGGCCGAGGCTCGAACCAGTGACCTTCTTGCTGTGAGCCGACAGCACTACCAACTGCGCTACCGCTTCGCCCTAAAATTAAGCCCAAATCAGAAAAGTTTTGACAGTATGAAAAACGCTAATAAAAAAAGAACAAAGTGATTTCTAAATTTACATTAACTTGTATTTCATTGCATACAATACAACAACATATTATTTAATGTCCTCATGATTTTCTTAATTGTTGAATTAATTCTGGTTCTTGTAACACATTAAACACATTAAGCATTTACCACTTTGTAATGTTGCTATTGCTTTTCACAACACTTTAAAGACGTTTAGGGACTGATATACCAAGTGATGAAGTGTGTCAGGTGTAATTTTGTCCCATTATTCCTGCAAACGAGTCTTAAGGTGCGCAACAGTATGGGGCCTTCATTGTCGCATTTTGAGCTTCAAAATGCATCACACATTCTCTATCGGAGACACGTCAATACTGCTGACAGGCCAATCAAGTACACATATTCTCTTCCTCCACAACCAGGACTTTGTAATGTGTGCAGAATGTGGTTTTACATGGTCTTGTTGAGATATGGATGGGCATCTCTGGAAAAGAAGGCAGCATATTGTGCTCCAAAATCTCTATGTACTTTTCAGCATTAATGGTGCCATTACAGAAGTGCAAGTTACCTTTGAAATACTCATTTATCTGACCACAGTACACTCTTTCACCACATGCCTCTGAGCTCAGAAAAGTCAATGGCACTTCTGGACACTGTTGACATAGGGCTTCTTTTTGGCACAGTACAGTTTTCACGGGCATTTGTGGATGTAACAATTATTTAACTGTTTTGTGGTACTTGACAAAGGTTTGCCAAAGTAGTCCTAAGACCATGTGGTGATATCGCTTATAGATGAATGACAACTCTCTATGCAGTGCTTGCTGAGGGATGTTGAAGGTAAATATCCAAATGTCTTCCTATCTTTCTTTGAGAAACATTGTTTTTAAACATTTTGAAAATGTTCTTATGTATTTGTTTGCAAACAGACATTCTTCAGCACATTTTTGCTCCTAAAGGATTAGATCTTAAAGGGAGTAACTTCTCCCTTCAAGACAAGATCTGAACCATTTGAGAACTGTTCCTGAAAGCCCAACCTAGATTTCCAGGCTATCAAGAAGTATGCTGTGATTGACAGTGTCAAATGCAGCACTGAGATCAAACAATACCAGCACTGTAAGTAGGGATGTCCCAATCCGCTATTGATATCGAAAATTCGTCTGATATCAGTCCAAAAATTTATATTGAAAAATCTCTGATATAAGCACTCCGATTCGCTCTAAACTCCGTGACAGCTATTCTATCCAGCAGCGTCCAGAGCCAGCATGCAAAGCCCTAGTGATCACAACACTGCTTGCTAGCAAAGTCTCTAAGGCTGTACTCACACTAGGTACAGTTGCCTCGAACCGACGGCCCGCACTCACACCACAATCGGGCCTCGGCACACTTACGTCGTTGCTGCTGCGCTGTTCAGTGAGAAGCGCTCTCTCACTCAGCAGCACAGTGGAGATTTCTCTAGTTATATCATTTCAGTCATTTGTTATGCAGTGACATGCAGTCAAATATTTCACCAAACAGTCCTTAGGGATGCGGTGACACGCAGTCAGATATTTCGCCGAACAGATCCGCCACTTTTGGCGTTCATAAACAATCATAAAGCTCTCGTGCTTTACCCACACTTCTCAAACGATCCGGGAAATGGGCCTGGGCACGGTACGGATGGCACAGTGTGAGTAGGCATGTAACATGCTCTTCACACTAAGTTATAGTGTATTAAGAGGGAAATCTATTGTGACGTAGCACACGCTAACGCGATCACCAACGGCACATCTCTACTGGTTTACTTACTTCACGTCAAGCGATCTTTGAGTTTACATTGTTATACGCTGCTAAGCAATGCATGCGAACCTCATTTAAAACGTTTACGTTACAATTCAGTCATGGCATATCGTGGTTCATCCAGTGTGATACTCAATTCAACACCAGCGCTTCCCACATATAAGACTTTACCTCAGTGGCCCGGTTCTGTGTGCGTGAGAAACTCCACAGACTCGGGTGCTCTTCTGCTTCAGACTTCAGAAACGCGCTGGACATCTGACTATGGTAATCGCTTGGAGATGAGCTCGAGGACACGTGAAGAAAAGCCTTTTACTAAATAGACTGACCCAGCTAATTATTTAGGGTGACAATAAATCCTCTTTTTCCTGAACATGTCCTCTATTTGAGACTTAAAAATGCTTTCAGCCAGGCTTTCTAAATCGCCTAACATGTCCTGGATTCTGCTTTCGTTTTCTATAGCTGTCATGTAAAAGGTGTTAAATGCTAAACATTTTTGTTGTTTTAATTGTCTATTAAATAAGAATTAGAAATCATTCTGTTGCTGAGGGCCATTACAGTTTAAAAGAAAGAATGGTACTGTATTACTTATGGGGCAGAAGTAAAAGTTAATAAGAGGCATTCCCATGTTTAACTCTTTTTTAAAAAGCCCAGAAGACAAAGTGCTCTGATAAACAGTGTCAGCTTTGCACATGAGTGTGCAGTTCTGTCTGTCTTTACATTGTCTACTTTATCCATGTGGGCAGTAGGGTGGAATCTGTGCAATATATTATGCAAATAAAATGCATTTTGATAAATACAATTATTTTTTAAAATCATGTTATTGTATGTGCTGTGGAGAAAAGGTGTGTTTCAATCCAGCTACTGCAAATATATTTATCTTAAAGATAATATGTGCAATATATATTATTATAAAATTAATAATGTTTTGTTTGGGAACATTGATACAGCCATAATCTTCTTATGATACAAACACAGATTAAATATCTGATCTGATTATGTAAAAGTTTGTACTAAACATACTGCAGATTTTTATTACTTTAACAATAACTTATAACAATGACTCTCTATACAATAGACAACTCAACAATAACAATAACTATTTCTGCTCCCCTGTGTAAAAGATATTTTTCAGCTCAAGAATAGATCACAAATTCATCAAGAAGCTGTGTAAGTGTGTGAAATTATAACTTTAGACACTCAACCTTTAGCAGTTGATCAGTTAACATTAACAATATTTTTTCTTATGTTCCTGCTCTCAGCTTTTTCTACCATTTGCTGATGGTGAAAAGTAAATAACTAAAGTGACCTTTAATTAGTATTTTGCACTTTTAAAATATATATTTTGTTTATTTAATTAAGATATTTTTCAGGGTCATAATATTTGTTCTTTAATTACTTTAAATATACTCTTATGTAAAAGCTTCACATTTATGCAACCAGTAGTTAATAAATTGGTTGTTTATTTCCATACTTACTGTTGCTGACTTTTGTTCTCAGTTTGATCTAGCCGTTCATACATTCGACTCAACGAAATAGGTAAAAGTAAAGTATTCATGATTTGTGCTGATATCAGATTTATATCGGTATTGGTTCGTACTGAAGGCAGCAATATCGGTATCGTATCGGAAGTTAAAATGTTGTATCGGGACATCCCTAACTGTAAGTTTGCCTATATCTGTATTTAGGCGAATATTGAAGCTTATCCTTATAAGGGTTGCCTCTGTACTATGATGTGCCTGGAAAACAAATTGAAAATTGTCTAAATATCCCTTAGAGCTTAAATCAAGAAAAATTATTCAATAAACGATTGGTAATCCAAGAGTGTATGGACAGAAGAATGTCATTTACCACACAAAGAAAAGCAGTATCAGTACTATGTAATAAGGGAAATCCTGACTTAAAGGTCGCCGCACACACACAGAAGCATGCTGTCTCGTTCGCACCGCTAAAAACATGAATGATTCGAATGTACATTAATGAACGGTGCGCATCTTGTGCTGCAAACATTACATGCTTTTAGTCATTTTCATGTGAAGCTGAGCTTTGCAGAGCAACCAATGTGTACAACTGGAAAGGGGGCGGTTTATGATGCAATAATCATTTATCTCAATTAATGTTTTTTCATAATCGTTAGAAGCCAAAATTGAAACCGGATTTTTGATTAATTGCACAGTCCTACTATTTAGCACTCATATAATATATATATATTATATTATTATTATTATTTGTGTTATTCTTTTACTTCTCAGCTACACATTAAGTGTGTTTTGGGAAATATTAAGTAATTTTTACCTACTTTACAGCAAAATCCTCAACTAATCTTTCCCTTGTATGTGAAAGTTTTTATTTTTTTTCAATGAAAATTTCACTTTAAAAAGTAACTAAATGTAATTTATGTTGTTTCTGGAAATAAAGATTTAGACTTGCACATATAACTCATTTTATTAGAAGACAGATATGAGCATCTTGCAGTATTGAGCGATGTTCAGTAATTTTTATGATAATTTCTGCTTTGAAATTTATCTGTGTTGAGTGACTAAATCTTAATAATATTTGTTCTTCTAAACTCCTATAGCACAAACTATAGCATAAACATGTCTGTTAAATGTAACAGCCAATCAAAGGTATTTAAGTTAGTCAGTTATGCATATGTTCAATGCCTTTGTGTGCAGTTGCATACCTAAAATGCTTGATGGTCCTGGCTTCCTTCCTTCCATGTCCTTCATTCCCTCCACATAGCGGAAGGCAACCTCATGCAGTAACTCCTCACCATCTTTTGCTGCCAGGCAATGATGACACATGCTATTTATTAAATTTCAGAATTATCACCAACATTCTGTAAAGTGAAATTTTATTCAAAACCCACTTCCTGGACCCACCTGTTGCTAGAGCCTCAGCAGTTGCCAAGTGAAGTACTGTATCATCACTGACTGGCCAGTCAGGAAGCTCCACTTTGATGTTTTTCAGCCCTCCAAGCTCTTGTAGCTCCTAGTATAACATAATAAATTAGGGTGCTTACCATGAACTGTAAACTTATTTTAAAAAGTGGTATGATTCATGTGTTGAAATCACTTCACAGCAGGGGTCACCAACCCTGTTTCTGGAAAGCTACCTTCCAGCAGAATTCAGGTTCAGCCCTGATCAAACACACCTGAACCATTCAATAGAACCTGAAGCAGTACTTCAAAATTACAGACGTGTGTTTGTTCAGGGTTGCAACTAAAATCTGCAGGAAGGTAGCTCTCCAGGAACTTGGTTGGTGCATGTATAGTGGTATAGTGCATATCCATGGACTGTGGGGGAAACTGGAGCACCCAGAGGAAACACACGCAAATATGGGGAGAACATGCAAACTCCACAGAAATGCCAACTCTCCCAACTGGGACCAAAAGTTGGAAGCACTACATTATGCTAGAGAATCATTTAAATACTAGTTCTAAAGCGACTTTTGTGGATTAGTAACCTCATAGTAGCCTCATGGTGAGTGCACAGGGATGGGAGAATCACCGCTGCCTGCGTCATCACCTACACTGGATACATGAAGCTTGATCTCTCTGCATTCAATTCAGCAGATGTTATCTATTCAGTTGCGTGAGGCTTCCGAAGTGTCTGAAGCACTCTCCTACACATGGTTCTATACTCTACTAATGATTAATCACCAGCACCTGCAGAGCTGTGCTCTGCCAACCTATGGACTTTCATTGGCCCATTTTCTTACTTTTCAGAGTGATTGGTCATCTAGTGATCTCCCTTTGGGCCCTATCATACACCCGGCGCAATGTGGCGCAAGGCGCAACGCAATTGCTATTTGCTACTTTCAGCTCGGCGCAGGGGTCATTTTGAGGTGTTGCGCCACACTGTTTAAATATCAAATGAATTTGCGCTCAAATGTGCGCCCATAGGCATTCTGGTCTAAAAAAGCAGGCGTGTTTTGGCGCGTTGCTATTTTGAGAAACTGTAAATAGTCTGTTTTTTAGACCAAAACAAAGTCTGTCTACTTTCTGGCGCAAAGTGCGCCTGGCTTACACACAAGATGTAGAGCAATATGCAAATATCTTTACATATAAAAAAGATATAATATATTAAGGATATATATGTGATATAAATATAAATGATTAAAATATTACAAAACATTAATTTCTAGCCTACATGAATTTAAAATCCACTGCCTTCATACTTTCTTCATCTCGGGAGGCTTTTTCAGCTCATTCAATTTGCTTTTGTATAATGTTATTATTATTAGCAGTATTATTTATTAAATCCATATTTATATTTGTTTTATTAAAAACAAGAGTAGATTTGTCCACCTTTCAGGTTTTAGACCATATGGGGCATAGCAAATGTATTTGGATATAGCTTAGGTTTTTGAACACACTTTGTTATTACTGTTCATTTATTAGTTTGCTGGAAATTAGAACTGGATTTAGAAATATTTTTGAAACAAATGTTTGCACTTAACAAACAAAATTAATTATTCATAGGCTAATTGATGTCTGTGCGTTAAGGTTTCCCTATCCTTGAGAGAAAAAGCGAAAGTGAACTTACTTTACGTCATGTAAATAGCAAATGTGCTTATGGCGCGACGCAGCTGGCTCTTAAAGGTAATGGGAGATGAGACTCTGATTGGTTTATTCTCAAAACACACCTATAACTCATTAAGAAAAAAAATCAACCATTTTAGACCCCGCGCCACGGCACAAAGCGGATTTTCCTGTCCTTAAATTAGCAAAAATGCGTTCTGACACGCCCTGAAAGCGTTTGCACCGTGCGTTTTGCACATGGACCGTCAAAATAGAGCCCATAGTCTCGTCGAGGTTCCCGTTCAGAAAAGGGAACTATTACGCTGCAGAACAAACCACTCCAAAGGGAACAATAAAGTTTATAGTAACAGTAATTTAAACACCATGGCGCATAATGTAAAAATGATATCTGTGCAAATGTCTGAAAATAGTAAAAAATAAATAAATAAAAAAATAAAAAGTACTGCTCCTGGTGACGTATTGTGATGGGTGTATGGTAAGACTCATATGTTACAACAAGAATCCTTTTGTCCCATGGAGCTAAGACACAAATATGGAACCAAAACCAGTTCTAGTCAGTATCAACACCAAAGAAGAGTCTCAAAATTTAAGACAATGCATATGCACGTGTCCAATTTAAAGCACTAATAATAGACAAAACACTGTAAGAACAAATACAACAACTGTGGCTAATTCCTCATCCAATTCAATTCATGATTGGACTTTAAGTTCAGAACACTGTCATGAGAACTTTAAAAAAAGATGTTGATAATAAATACCTCTGAGATCATAAGGACACTTTTATTTGACTGTGCATTTTAGAATAAGACAACAAGCTCCACGAAATGGAATGGTGGATTATGATAAGCATTCACCTGAGCAACCCAATCAGGTTGAAAAATTTTAAAAGGAGGGGTTGATCAATTCCTCCTTAAACAGGAAGAAATAAAAGCATTTCCTTTTTGGAACAAAATCAATGGCAAAAGTATTAGAATTTAAAAATAATTGAAATTAATTTTGAAATTAAAAGCTTGTTGAATAGCACTGAAAAAATGCATTTCATTACAAATTAATTGTATTTTAATGTACTGAAGTGTAATGGTTTGCATTTTTAGGTCCTGAAATTGTGTTGTTGTTTATTTAAGGTGTAAATATTTAAACAAAAAACATAATTTTCACACACAATTTCATGGCTAAATTCAATACTTCATATTCACCTTCCAGAATTCACTTCCAATATATATTTAGTCCTTTTTAAAAATATGATGTAAAATGTTCAAAAGGCAGATTTTAGTCATTTATCTTTTTTCACTTATTTACTGCATAGATAATCTTAAATTAGTCCATCCTAGCATGGAATGAAATAGCAGCTTCAACAACAGGGTTAATTGCATTCAAAGTTAAAAAACATTCTCATTGTCTTATGCATTTAGTTCTACCAAGGTATCCCAATTAGGGTTGGGCGATGTTGACCAATTTGGTATCGTACAATGTCTTATGTGAAACATCGTGAAGAAGGGTGGCATCGTTGTCATAGGTGGGGCGTTTTTACTATCTGACCCACATGATCTTTGCTTTACCCATAACTAAACCATAAATACATAAAGTTACACACAAATTACCATCTGTCAATCACTTTTTTTCCACTGAACTCTGGCATGAATAGGCACTGTGATCTGTGTCGTTCTAATGGCTTTTTACACAGTTGGTGGAGGAGTCGTGCGTTCGTTTGGAGTTTACTGAAATTTTTTGGGTAGCCCTTTAAATCTTAAAGAGCCCATCTTATACATGAAATAGGGTCATATCTTGGTTGTAAGGGTCTCCAACAACAGTTTAATATGCATGCAAGGTCAAAAAAACAATTTCGTGATCTTATAATCTGCATTTATTTTTACCTAATTATCCCAGCGACTCCTGTATGAATCGTCCAGTGATTCATTTGTTCCCAAACCCCTCCTTAGCGCGAAGCTAATCTGCGCTGATTGGACTAATGACAGTCTGTTGCGATTGGTCGACTGCCTTCAGTCAGAGAGTGAAATACCAAACAGCTAATCAGCAATATAAAAGTAATCACAGTTCATGCACGCTCGATAGTGTAGGCGTAGATTTTAGCTGCCAGTGGGTCAATGTAAATACAGACAATGGACTTGAAAATTCGGACGACTAACTATTTTATTGAGCAAAAACTCCAAAAACAGTTGAGGAGATCTCCTAGCTTCTCACTCTGCTCTTTTCACAGACACACACACACACATATTGCGCACACACACACACACACACACACACACACGCACACACGCACACACGCACTTAACCCTGCTCCGGACGACAACGCGCGCGCACACACACACACACACACACACACACACAAACACACACACACACACACCTCCGGACGACAGCGCGCGCACACGCACACACAGACACACACAATACTCCTCTTCCACGGAGCTCCGTTAACAAAGCAGCACGCGTCGCGTTTTTAACGTGACTTTGCACGCGATAAGAGAATATAGCCAGTTAACCTGATACAGTACACGCGGTTACAAGTAACAAATCACAACTAAATACATTTGCAAGCTAAAGTCAACGAGGCAACTTTAATCGCACGTACTTACACTTGAGAAATGGAGGAAGAAAAATCCATTCTGACGTCCATCAGTAAGTTACTCTTTACTGATCCTTCCTTTAACAAACGCTGATGAAGTATTCTTTGTAGCATGTAGTTTCCAGAAGTTTCCAGTAGTTTCCAACTGCTTGGCTATAATGCTGAGGTTTCATCTTTGGGTAGAGACTCAATATATCCATCTGCAGTGTGACTTCAATCGACCGGCATGTTTGTGTGTGTGTGTGTGTGCATGTGTTTGTGGGTGTGTGTGTGTGTGTCTGGGTTTTTGCATCAGAGGGCGGGGCCTCAGGTTTGAAATCTCCCGGGTTTGCGCGTGCACGTGAATAACTTGGTTTCGTTCGTTCGTCATGGCGAAACACCTAATGAATCGGTATCAAGGCGACTCGTTTGAAGCACTATGAGTCGACTCTTTTATAGATGAATCAACAGTTTTAAACACTGTACACTAACAGATTTAAGCCTTAGCTCGATACTTCACTTCACTTAGAGCTGTGTTAAACACTACATGGAGGGGAATTTTCAAAAACCCATAATATGGGCTCTTTAAAGCAAAAGTCGATGACGTCACGTACCCGGTGCCGAGTTCGCGGAGTTTAACTGGTAAACAACACCAATTTCAGGAAAATCGCTCCAACACATCACCGCAAACACGCGTGGTGACCGGATTTTGGAAGATTGCTAAAGACGTGGTCCCAACAAAAACTGTATCTACCCCAACCAAAAACCATGGATCAATGTTGAAGTTCAAACAGCCCTATCAGTGCGAGCTTCCACCTCTAAATCCAGAAATGCTGAGGAACAAAAACAAGCAAATTACAACCTCAGAAAATCCATCAAAGAAGCATAACGTCAATACAGAGTCAAGGTAGAGAGTCAATTTAACACCAATTACACAAGGAGCATGTGGTAGGGACTTAATTACATGACAGAATTTAAAAGTAACCAATCCACCACTGTAAACATTGCTGCATCTCTCCCGGACGAGCTCAACTTGTTCTACGGCGCTTGTTCTACACTCTGTTTCTGTCGCGGACGTAACGAGAGCTTTACGAAGCGTGAACATCCGGAAAGCAATGGGCCCAGATGGCATTCCTGGACATGTACTTAAAGCATGCGCACACTGGCTATAGCCGGGTTTTTCAAGGACATCTTTACTCTCGCTCTCTCAGTCTGTGATTCCCACATGCTTTAAGACAGCAACTATTGTGCCAACACCAAAATCAGTTAAAACAACATGCTTAAATGACTGGCAAAACCCATCTTCAGCAAGTGCTTTGAGAAGCTGATTAAAAAGCACATCTGTTCTTTACTGCCTGCTCACACTGACCCTCTGCAATTTGCTTACAGGAATAACCGCTCCACTGATGATGCAATTGCTTTCACCCTGGACACTGCTCTGTCTCACCAAGCAAACAAAAAAACATATGTGAGAATGCTGTTTGTGGACTACAGCTCAACATTCAACAGCATAGTGCCTGCTAAGCTGGTGGTGAAACTCCAGGCTCTGGGTCTTCACAGCTCATTGTGCAACTGGATCCTGGACTTCCTGTCAAGCAGTCGCCAGGTGGTCATAATGAACCACATTACATCATCCACAATGATACTCAACACTGTTGCTCCACAGGGCTGTGTTCTTAGCCCACTCCTGTACTCCCTGTACACACATGACTGTGCAGCCAAACACAGCTCCAACGTCATCGTTAAATTTGCTGATGGTCCTAATCACCGATAATGATGTGACGGCCTACAGAGAGGAGGTGCACGCAGTGGTGTGAGGAAAATCACCTCTCACTCAACATCAGCAAAACCAAGGAGCTGGTGGTGGATTTCAGGAGAGGAAAGAGAGAACACACCCCCATCACCATCAATGGGACAACAGTGGAGAGAGTCAGCAGTTTCAAGTTTCATGGAGTCCACATCGCTGAGGATTTGACATGGACAGCTCACACAGACGCATAGCTGAGGAAGGCACGACGGCTCTTCTTTCTCAAGTGTCTCAGGAGGTTTGGAATGACCCTCCACATCCTCCGCTCGTTCTACACCTGCACTGTGGAGAGCATCCTCACTGGCTGTATCACCACTTGGTATGGAAATAGCACCAGCAGCAATCGCAAAGGCCTACATAGGACATAGCTTCCCTCACTTAAGAACATCTACACCAGGCGGTGCATAAGGAAAGCCAAGAGAATTATTAGTGACTCCAGCCACCCAAGCCATAGACTTTTCTCTCTGCTACCCTCAGGCAGACGGTTTCGCAGCATCGGTCACACACCAGCCAGCTGATGGAAAGTTTCTTCCCCCAGACTATCAGGCTAATGAACACTTAACACAACCCACACAGACTCTTCCATACCCCTCACTGCACACCATCAATATGTAGTATGCACTGCACTTTAAGCAATTCATAGTTGAAACAATACCGCAAGGCGGATGTACACATGCATAGCCAAATTCACGTGCATAAAATCAAATTCACGTTCATAAAATATTTATTTATATTTACAAAAAAATTCACGTGCACAAAATAAAAATAAATTTTCATAAAATACGTTTCACAAATGCAAAACACCATTTGCAAATGTATGAAAGTGATGCAAATCTTATTCCAGAAATCAGTAACATATACAGAAAGTATGCAGAGCTTTTCTGACCTGGTGAATGGCAGGGCCAGATTGGTTGTATTCCCACAGCTGATTCCTGTATCCCAGAGCATCTCCTGCTGCACTGAGCAGCATGCCTGTTGTGTAATGGTCCACAGTACTGCAACAAGATTAACAAGATTATTAAAGTTCGTCGAGACTTTGAGGCTGGCTTTACAAAGCCTGCTGGTGTAGTTTATTTAGTTCAAAACAGTTTTGAAGATAGATAGATAGATAGATAGATAGATAGATAGATAGATAGATAGATAGATAGATAGATAGATAGATAGATAGATAGATAGATAGATAGATAGATAGACAGACAGACAGACAGACAGACAGACAGACAGACAGACAGAAAAACAGACAGACAGACAGACAGACAGACAGACAGACAGACAGACAGACAGACAGACAGACAGACAGACAGACAGACAGACAGACAGACAGACAGACAGATAGATAGATAGATAGATAGATAGATAGATAGATAGATAGATAGATAGATAGATAGATAGATAGGTCAAACAAGCCAGCCGCCGCTTTTCTAAGATTTTCTGATGCTGAGAGACAGCTGCTGTAATATAGTTGCTAAGTTAGTCTGTTTTGTTGCTATGAACAGTTAAAAACAACCCCTCTGTCTCTAAAACACAAGCCTCTATAATGGCAGTCTATGGGACAGTTGCTAGGGTGCAGTATCTGGTTGTTAGGGAGTGGCTAGAAAGTTAAAAGCCTGTCAGTTATTGGCAGTTTGGTAGTATGAGTTAAATGAGCTCAGCCATTAGTCTTTATGACACTCTGATGCAGAGTTATGAGCTCACATAGTTTGATCCAATGTTGAGTCAATGACAGTCTTTTGCAATGGAAGTCTATAGGACAGTTAATAGTAGAGGTGTGAACCTATACTGGTCTCACCGTTCGGTTCGGTTATGATTATCATGCCATCGATTCGGTTCAATTCGATATCTCGGTGCATCATGGTGCACTGACGATGCTTTCCATACACAGTGTTATATTTTGGGGGAGGCTATAACAAGCTGTCTGTATGAACACACAGACACACAGCACCACACTCTCTCATTCAAACACATACACAAACATACACAGCACCAAACAAACACACACACACACACACACACACAAACACACACAAACACACACACACACACACACACACACACACACACACACACACACACACACACACACACACACACACACACACACACACACACACACACACACACACACACACACACACACACACACTTAAGCCCTCGCAATATGCGTTTCAGAGCACGCGCTGGGCAGAGCAAAAAAAAAAAAAAAGTTTTTTTTGAAAAAAGAAAGCACTTATCCGACGGTCCCTTACTGAGGCTGAGGCTAAACGCATATTGCGAAGGCTTAAAGGGAGCAGTGGTCGTAATGTCGAGCGAATAGAAAAGAAAAAGACAGCTGTTAAACATAACCAGCTTTGTCTTTTTGTAGGAAACACCCTTACGATCTTTTTAGGGTAAGAGGTTTTTGAGTTATTGCCTGAATGTGTCAGGAATATCGAAAACAAAACCATCTTAACCGCGCTTATTTTTGGTGCCCCCTGGATGTACAGTGCCCTTAGCATTTGCCTTTACTGCCTATGCCACGGGCCGGCCCTGAGTTGGCTCCTGAGTAGGGTTGTAACAATATACCGGTATGACGGTCTACCACGATTTGAACATGCACGATTATCATACCATGAACAATTGCATATCAACGGTTTTAACCCTTAAAGACCGAGACAGCCGCCCGCGGCTAAAAATAAGTATTGCTCTTAAATGTTTAATAACTTTTGATCCGCTGATCCGATTCATACAATTCAAAGATTGGCATAAATAAGAGAATCTCAGCTTAACATATCACATAACATTCGCGGACTTTTAGAGGCTCCGGAATTAGTGCGGTTACGTCATCAAAATTTGACAACGCTGATTTGACAAAGAAGCGCTCGTCACTGTGTCTCCGGACAAACCAGACATGATACATTGATGCATTGTCCCTCCTCCATGCCCAGATTGGTTCAAACTCGATATATCACAACCAATAAGCATAGGTTTCGCTTTTGTTTGTGGACCAACACTGAGCTTTTTGAACAACACGGAATGAGAGATAGGCATACATTTCTGCGCGGCTAAATAAAACGCAAAAAAAAAAAGTTTTGCATGAAATAATTCTCATACTAAGTACTTTTGCATGCACAGCAGCACAGAAACATGACAAAACAGTGACACAGCAAAGACGAACTGCTGCTCTTGCTGTTTTCAAAAGACACAAATGAAGGTGCAGCTGTTTGTCTGCATTGCAGACAACCATATCCAAATCCATATCCACAGCCAACCATATCCATGCTGGCACATAAAACCTAAGGATGTTCCATATTGAATCTAGTTTCGTTATGTAACTATTTATAGTATAGTAAATATTTATATCTATTTTTACTGAGGATTTGCACCATGTTTATTTGGACTTTGACACATTATTTATTATTTTCTTATTTTTTTATTTGTTTATTGTACAAGTGGACACATTCTCTCACCTCAGCGGTCAAGATTAAGTCCTGAAAATCTCAACATGCTTACATTTCTTCATCACAACCTAGACTGAAAAAAACAACGCTTTAAATTTACAGCCATAAACTTGGTATTGCACTTTTGGTCTCCCATTTATCCTGCTTATAAGGAAGGACAGTTTAAGTTTATTTTTGTCTAATCTTAAAAGACCTTGCTTGTTTATTCCTTCTAATTTAATTTATTAAAATGGGAGATTTTCAGTTTATTTTTATAAAAGACTTCTATAGTTCTATTAAAATGGTTCTTTCAAAAGTTTGTTGAAATAAAACCTTTGTTCAGTCAGAAAACGTGTTCTTATTCTTTTCAGGGTCTTTGCTATGAGAATTACTATTTAATACCGTATACCGCGAAACCGTCAAACCGTGGTATTGTTTTAGACGATTATCATACCGTAAAAAATTCATACCGTTACAACCCTACTCCTGAGTGTTGTAAATACCAGCGCTCACGATCGCCGCTATCTTAGTCTCGTCCAATCTCATGACCTCTGCCAGAAGCTCCGCGAGTCTCCTGCAAACTTAGGCCTTTTTACATATAACAACTGAAAGTTCGGTGTTTTTGACAATATTGCAAAAGTTACTAAAAGCTGGCTAAAATAATTAGATAAATACAACTTAATAAATGTTTTAACATGAATATTTAATAATATAACTTCTTGTAATATACTCATTGCAATAAACAGTGTATAGACCCTTTTCCTTTTAGTAAAGAAGTGACAGATTTATAGGTGTGAATTTTAATTCTTATGAATTAAATTTCTTCTAATTTTTCATCAAACATATGCTCCAAACTTGTTCTTGATTGAGACATGTTGAACTCTTCTTTCATCCTTTGCAAGGGGTGTTACAGACAGAATTAGCAACCCAACGAGAGCCGCAATTGCCCACATTGTGACCATCAAGCAGAGGTGAAAACAGATCAACACTTGCCTTACCTGCTGCCCAAACTATTAAAGCATCAAAGCAACATTCTACCCCAAATTTGAGCTCATTTGCCCTGAATTCACAGTTATACAATAAAACACATAATTTCAATATGTATCAAGTGAAAAAAGCAGCTTAATAGCAGCACAATACATATAAATATCAGTGATGAGCTTACAAACACCACACACACACACACACAGAATTCTAAATTGTTATGAATGAATCCTAAAATGTTAATTGTTAAATATACTGTTACCACTCATTATTATTGTATTGTCCAAAATTGTTGATTGTCATATATACTCTTAATTATTTTTCTTATAACTAGAAATACTACTATGTCATTTGCTTTCTTATGTTCTATTGTAAATATCACAATTGCTTTGGCAATACATAGGAAACATTTATCTTGCAGAATAAAGCAGAGAGAGAGAGAGAGTCCTGTTCCAGCAGACCATTAGCACCCACATCCTGCGCCAGTCCACCCACACCCTCAGCATCCACAACCTGCGCCAGTGCACCTACACCCTCAGCATCCACGCCCTGTGCCAGTGCACCCACACCCTCAGCATCCACGCCCTGTGCCAGTGCACCCACACCCTCAGCATCCACGCCCTGTGCCAGTGCACCCACACCATCAACATCCACACCCTGTGCCAGCAGACCATCACCACCCTGTGCTGTGCCAGTGCACCCATGCCCTGTTTCAGTGCACCCACACTCTCAGCATCCACAACCTGCGCCAGTGCACCCACACTCTCAGCATCCATGCCCGGTGCCAGTGCACCCACACCCTCCACGCCCCTTTGCCAGTGCACCTACCCCCTCACCATCCACGCTCTGTGCCAGTGCTACAGAATCTTGTAGTATGACCCCACCATCAGCAGAGGAAACAGCTTGTACTCAGAGAAGCCCCAGTGATGGGTGACTACACCAGCAGTCACAGACAACAGGCAAAACTGAGATATGCTGCAGCACTAAAACAGCCAGTGGACACACACACAGCTCCAGTCTGAGAGAGATCAAGAACATGCTCAGTTTTATCTGCACACGCCTAATAGAATAGTTGAGAGTAAAATACTCAATCTTGATGATATAAATGGCTATATATGATATTTAGGTATTTTATGGTTTAAAGATTGGTTCTATTCTAGAGGAATGTTAAAAGTGTTTGTTGACTAAATGAAACTGCTGACAATCTCATTGTGGAATAATTAGGATGTTAACTCATCCAGTCTTGGGCGTAAAGTTAACACCTTGGATTTTAAGGAAAGCATTTCAAACATAGAAATCATAATACTCTAGGAAACATGGTGCAGAACTGATGAGGTCACTATTTTTCCCCCAGGATACCGTGAAATATCCATTTCATTTAAAAAACATGAAAAAAATGAAACATGGTAGAGATTCGGGGGGCACGATAATCTGGCACAAACTGGAAATCGCTAAATACATCAAATTAATTTAAAAAGAAGAATCTCATATCTGACTCAAAATCGAAAATCAGCTCAATCTAACGAAAAAGAACATATTCTTATGAGCTCTGTTCATTCCTCCATCTGAATGTTCATACTATAATGAAAACATCT